TGTATGAAAACTTTTGCTGTTCATTTTTCCATTTTGCAGTGAAATATATGGGCCTCCTGTTTGTCAGAGGGCGGAGCCATGATAACATTTCGGTCGTATCTTGACTTGAGGAACATGTGTACCGAATTTCATGGCTCTACGACAAACTTGACCTCTGAAACTCCCATTGGCTGTTGTAGTGGCGCTGTTCTGGCATTTTTTGAGTCCCATAAAAATAAACACCAAAATATCAAATTTTTCACCAGGTCTGATGTTTGGTCAAAATTTTACAACTTTTCATGCATGTTCAGGGGGTGAAATTAAGGCTCAAAGTGCAGAATTTGACATCTCTCGAGCAAAAACAATAGGCCCTTTCCCCGTTCGGGGCTCGGGCCTAATAATAACCCCCATGGAATTTTTCGGAGGTCAAGTTTGTCGTAGAGCCATGAAATTCGGTACACATGTTCCTCAAGTCAAGACATGAAAAAAATGTTATTATGGCCCCGCCCTCTGACATACAGGAAGCCCATAAATTTCACTGCAAAATGGAAAAATGAACAGCAATCATTTTCATACATGTCGGTTGGAAAGCGACTTCACCTCGGCCGTTTCACCGATTCGCCTCAAAATCGCTCCACATCATCTCAACACATGTACCTTGAAAATGACTTCGGCGATTTTTCATCAGTGAAACGTTGTTCAAACAGGGGAGCTGCAAATTGTGACCTTTTTTTGGCCGTTTTGGACAATATTAAATTTGCTCCCGTTTGCACATACAAAGTCTGATTTGCACAAAACTTTAATACATTGTTTAACTCTAGGGTCTAGGTCAATTAAAAGTGAAATAAAAGAACTTGGCTCATTAGTGCCCCTACAGATGGAGTCAAAGTTTTCAGAGTTTTTCATACTAAAAACTCTGAAATAGTCTGTAGGGGGCGTTAATGAGCCAAGTTCAATTATTTCACTTTCAAATGACCTCGACCCTAGAGTTGAACCATGGATTCAAGTTTTGTGCAAATCGGAATTTGTATGTGTAAACGGGAGCAAATAGAAGGTTGTGAAAAACGGCCAATAAACACTCACATTTTGCCGCTCCGCTGCTCAAACAACGTTTCACTGATCAAAAATCCTTGAGGTCCTTTTGATGGTACATGTGTTTAGACAATGTGGAGTGATATGGAGGCCAATCGGTGAAACGGCCGAGGAGGAGTCGCTTTCCAACCGACATGTATGAAAACTTTTGCTGTTCATTTTTCCATTTTGCAGTGAAATTTATGGGCCTCCTGTTTGTCAGAGGGCGGAGCCATGATAACATTTCGGTCGTATCTTGACTTGAGGAACATGTGTACCGAATTTCATGGCTCTACGACAAACTTGACCTCTGAAACTCCCATTGGCTGTTGTAGGTGGCGCTGTTCTGGCATTTTTTGAGTCCCATAAAAATAAACACCAAAATATCAAATTTTTCACCAGGTCTGATGTTTGGTCAAAATTTTACAACTTTTCATGCATGTTCAGGGGGTGAAATTAAGGCTCAAAGTGCAGAATTTGACATCTCTCGAGCAAAAACAATAGGCCCTTTCCCCGTTCGGGGCTCGGGCCTAATAATAACCCCCATGGGATTTTTCGGAGGTCAAGTTTGTCGTAGAGCCATGAAATTCGGTACACATGTTCCACAAGTCAAGACATGAAAAATATGTTATTATGGCCCCGCCCTCTGACATACAGGAAGCCCATAAATTTCACTGCAAAATGGAAAAATGAACAGCAATCATTTTCATACATGTCGGTTGGAAAGCGACTTCACCTCGGCCGTTTAACCGATTCGCCTCAAAATCGCTCCACATCATCTCAACACATGTACCTTGAAAATGACTTCGGCGATTTTTCATCAGTAAAACGTTGTTCGAACAGGGGAGCTGCAAATTGTGACCTTTTTTTGGCCGTTTTGGACAATATTAAATTTGCTCCCGTTTGCACATACAAAGTCTGATTTGCACAAAACTTTAATACATTGTTTAACTCTAGGGTCTAGGTCAATTAAACGTGAAATAAAAGAACTTGGCTCATTAGTGCCCCTACAGATGGAGTCAAAGTTTTCAGAGTTTTTCATACTAAAAACTCTGAAATAGTCTGTAGGGGGCGTTTATGAGCCAAGTTCAATTATTTCACTTTCAAATGACCTAGACCCTAGAGTTGAACCATGGATTCAAGTTTTTGTGCAAATCGGAATTTGTATGTGTAAACGGGAGCAAATAGAAGGTTGTGAAAAACGGCCAATAAACACTCACATTTTGCCGCTCCGCTGCTCAAACAACGTTTCACTGATCAAAAATCCCTGAGGTCCTTTTGATGGTACATGTGTTTAGACAATGTGGAGTGATATGGAGGCCAATCGGTGAAACGGCCGAGGAGGAGTCGCTTTCCAACCGACATGTATGAAAACTTTAGCTGTTCATTTTTCCATTTTGCAGTGAAATTTATGGGCCTCCTGTTTGTCAGAGGGCGGAGCCATGATAACATTTCGGTCGTATCTTGACTTGAGGAACATGTGTACCGAATTTCATGGCTCTACGACAAACTTGACCTCTGAAACTCCCATTGGCTGTTGTAGGTGGCGCTGTTCTGGCATTTTTTGAGTCCCATAAAAATAAACACCAAAATATCAAATTTTTCACCAGGTCTGATGTTTGGTCAAAATTTTACAACTTTTCATGCATGTTCAGGGGGTGAAATTAAGGCTCAAAGTGCAGAATTTGACATCTCTAGAGCAAAAACAATAGGCCCTTTCCCCGTTCGGGGCTCGGGCCTAAAAAGCATGTAATGTGCACTTAACAGCTTGTAGAATTGTCAGTCTACTGTAAAACTTTTTTGGAGTATATTTTCATAATTATTCATTCCACTATCATAGCATACTTTGCATTTGCTGTCTGTGAAGCCACCATTATTTATTATATTTACCGACCTGTCACAGTTGGATCCACCCATCCCCAAAGGACAGGTAGCACTAAGCGCTGCAGATATACAGTATCTGTAATCCTGTTCCTGTGTCAATGTGAAAACCTCTATACCTCCTGCTGGTCCCTTGCTGCCCCCCAACACACATGGGATTGTGCTGATGGTTATGTTTGCACGTCATAGGCCACATATTGACAAATCTATATTAGAAAAGGCTTCACTGTGAATGACAGTGGACATAGCCTGTGATTAAACATGATATATGTTTAGCTGTCAATAGATAGAGGCAGGACATATTTCATAAGGCTATAGGATTTCGTTTGTATATTTAAATAGAGATCATTATTGAGATCCATTTATATGTCCAAAAATAACCAAAGAAAATAAGTAAAATGTATTAAATATGCTCCAACTCTACAATCAGCTACCTTGGCAAAAGAAAACCTTGATGGCTGCAGCATTCAGATGGAAAGGGCAGTGCTCTTCCTCTCTGTTCATCTCCCTCTCTCCTTCGTCCCTGTCCTCTCCCTGTTTCCTTCTGTAAATCTGCCAGTGAAAACCTATTAATTATCTCCTAGAAGGGCTTGCTTGCTGGCTGGCCATCACTGCCTGTCACTTTTTATGAGTTTTGCTGGACTCTCTCTCTCTGTCTCTTTCCCTCTCTTCTGCTGCATTTTGTTGATACACTGGCCCCCAACCGTTTTCATGGTAGAAATCATTTGCCTTTCATCTAAACATCAGCATGACTCATGGACACTGATTTCAATCATCATGAATTTAATCCCTCCCATTTTTGCCTACCAAGCTAATCCTGAACATTGCAGCTACAATGATATTGTTTTTAGTAGTTTGCGTTTATGGCTTCCCAGCTGAAGTGGAAAAGGTACTAGACTTCAGAATTTAAGTGAAGTACTAAGTAGGGTACTTTCTAAAATGCAGTTAACATTATACAATGTATACAGATGATTAACATCATATTGATCTTGATGATTGTCAACTCAAACCATGCTGGAAGTTCTCTTCACTCATTGGGTAAACCTTTAAATGTTCCATTTTAATTTACCTTTTACAATCACTCTGAGGTGGACAGTCTTTGGGTAAAAGTGTGTTTTGAAGGCGAGGGCCATAACTTTTTCTCCTTTCTGGGACGAGTAAATCTGCCAGTGAAAGAGATGAGTTATCTCTGAGAAGGACCTTCCACTGTGCTGGCCAGAACGAGCTGTCACATTTTATAAATCCTCATGCGCTCCTGCTCTTCGTGGTTGTGTTCTGCTCCAGTGTGTGTCAGGAAAAAAAATATCTGGTCCAGTGTTAAGCTTGCCTGGCCTGCCAAACGATATGCTTTTTCAAAGACATATAGTCTGGGAACGAGCTTGATCTCAGCGAATTCCCGGTGGGCGTGGTTGACAGACTGCATCAACCAATTAGATGCACACAGGATATGACGCAGCAACTAGCGGCACCCAAGCCGTTTCAGTAAACACAAAACAAGGGATGGCGGCTTGTCAGCTAGTGCAAATGTAAACGACTGCTGTCGATTTTGTAACAAAAACTTAAAGATACGAGGAGTTATTAGCAACTCAAAGGTGAAAGGAAGTCCCGCCTCTCGGTGCGTGATTGGACCGATGTGGGTAAAATCGTGAAATGATAGGCTAGGAAGAGGTGTCCAGACAGTTCTTCTTTTGAACAGAAAGGAGGAGTGTCTGGCAGGCCAGGCAAGTGTTAAGCTGGCATTTCAACCACTGTAGTATGCCTGGGTGTGTCCCGTCTCACATACTTTAGAGTCAGGACTAAAGTGGGAACAAACCTGCAACTTTTGATTTCTTTCTTTTTTTTTTTTTTTTTTTTTTTTTTACCTTAGATATAATCTGTAAATGTTATATATTATATCTTTATGTTATTATAGTGATAATGTCCTTCTTTCTCAGTTTGCCAAACGAGGCAGACTTTTTCAATTTGTTAGTCGCCCATGTTTTGCTTTTCCTCAAATGTATTTATATTGTGACTTTCATTGTGTTGTAAACATGGCCATGATGGATATATTGTGCTTGCTTTGTATGCAGGAGAGTGCCAGATCTGCCCTGAAGATGAAAGACAGCCAAATGAGCGACCGAACAACGCAGACAGAACACGCAGGGCCAGAGGTGAGTGCACGCTCGCAGAATGGACTCGCTCACTCCGCTGTTCAAAGCCTCTCCTGCACACGGATTGTTTATGAAAATGTATTACTTTGAGATCACATATCCTCTCAGCAAAAATTGTCCCCTGGAAATACTCTCATCTATGTTCTAAAGGGTTTGGATTTAAATATTTTTTTTTTCCAAAACCATATTCATTTTAGTTTAAAAAATATTTGAGAGTAATAATTTGAGATGCGTCTAGAAGAGCTGGAGGGCCACCACTCTGCCTTGTCTTGATGTTTGATTACTTTGCCATTTTCTACACTTTAGCATGAAACCTCCCCGGATATTTTCTTTAAACACACGCTTTGCATTTGACCTTTTGCCCTCACATAGATTGTTACATCATCAGAGATCTGTAGAATGTTGATATTTTTCAGACATAGTTAAGATGTTTTTTTCCTGCGCTGTGTGCAGGTTACAGGTGTGCGTTTGTGTTTGTGTGTGTGGGGGAAGAGTGGATGGAGCTGGTCTTCTGCTGTTGCGACAGTATTCTCAAGTGAATATTTTGTCTGGGAACCATCTATATGTACTTTCGTTTAGGAGTTGTGTGGTTTATGGTTGCCCAAAGCAGTTTATTGAGCACTACAAATGTCGATCATGTGTCTGTGCCAGACTGTTTCAAATGTGTCGCAGCCTCTGTGCTAGCTCAGACTAGGTTGTGACACTGACATCTAGCGGACAATTTGAAGTGGATCTATGGTTCCAAATGTGCATAAAGCTGACTTTATTTTTGTATTCATTACGAAAATTCAATCCATTTGAGTGCACACTGCATGGTTTTCCCAGGCCATAATGAGCCTGACTATTACAATATATATTCACCCAAAAGCCCATCATTTGTTTTAACTGTAATTCCTTGTTGAAACTGACACAACAGACATGTGTTGTATAGTGAGTCCATGTAGCATGCTAAAATATATATTTATATGTTTATACGTATATTTTTTCATTATCCAAGTCAGACAAAACCTTTTTTTTATCTTGTTATTTTAGGTTAGGTATACGTTTTAATGCCTTACTCTGGAACTTTACAAGTCAAGGAGCAAGATGCGTCTCCGATCTATCTTCATCTAGTTAAGCTTTTAAGCTGCGCAAACATTATAAACTTCCAACTTTGTCTTTTCTTGCATCGAGTCTGCTTTTCTCGCCCTCTGCTGACACTTCTTGGCTGCACACACCCTGACAGTTTGAGAGCGCAGCACACCTAATGGATGACTGTCTTAAAATGGAACCTGTAGCAGAAATGGGGACATCGTTAGGGCTATTCTTCTTAATTTGTCTTACATAATACTTTTTCAGCTTTGTCATAGTTTGATCACATTTACAAACTAATTCTGCACTTTTAATATCTGCTGTCCTAGCATTTGCAGGATGGAGAATAAAGTTGTTGAACTAAAAATAACAATCAGTTGTGGTCTGCATAGGTTTTCTTCAGGTGCATTTGTTTCCCCTGCCACTAAATTGTATAATGGGACCATAAGTGGGATTTTTTTTGCTTTTTTCAAGTGGTCGCTCTGCATGCTTTAATCCCCTTCCACATCCTTCCACATCCGACAGCAGAGGAAATCTGGTAAATACAAATACACCTAAAATACTGTTCACTGCTCACAAATCTGAATCAAAAAGGTTTTATTGTCATTGTCGGTGCAAAAAATTGCAAACAAGTTTAAATTATTGGTAAAACGTAGTAATGATCAGGCATGTATAAAAAGTGCATATAATCGAAAAATATATATTAACATGATCCTTGAGCACATAAGCTCTAACACAGCCCATTTTAAACCAACTTACATAATTTAATGTTTTATGCAATTTAATGTTTTATGCATTTGTACCTAATTTACAGAGATCTAGAATCACAGAATGTTTATGGATACTGCGTGTGTGTGTTTAGAGGAGACTGCTCCACAAGTGCTAATATCGTGCTTCGGCACTTTTACACATTTTAATGACAAATACAATCACAAAGCCAACTATTATCTTTCATTGCATGTAATAATTTATACCGAGCTAATCTCACTGGTTAAGTATCATGTGGCCGCAGAACCAAACATGGTCTTTTGATTCTCAAATCAGTAATGACAAACAAGGAATAAAACAAGGAATTCTATCGGGGTCTTTGTGAAAAAGGTGTTGGTTATAGACAAATGAATGGTTTGTTCTCAGTGGCGCATTTGCCGGCACGGTCACTGACATATTAGCGGAACTCGTCATATCACTCGCTATATTTGGGCATCGTCTGCTCCTCCCGGTTCTGCGCAGTGGATGATCTCCCATGATGCATTGCGCCAAATAATAAATTGTCATCTCAAAATTTGTCGGTTTTCCAAGCATGACAAGGAAGAAATGGCTGATCCTAAACCCACTCTATGATGATGTAGAGAGGACTTGCTAGAGAAAGTCTGCTTTAATGCAGCATTTGTGAGGTTCCAAATACTAATGACTAAATGACTGAGTAATGAGTAATTTTTTGAACTGTTTTTCATTGGATTCTCTGATAAATTCACATGCCCCAAATTCAGCACAATTTTGTTATTACTATTCAACACTGAGTTTAGTCCCAGATATCTGAAGTAATTTTAATAAAGATAATTTGATCTAATATCCTGAAGATAATTCCCCTCATTTCCACAGCAGTTGATGTGGTGAGCTCTTGCTCTGTTTTATGGCTGTTATGAGTACGTTTAATCTTTGAAAGCTTCCTTATTAGCACTGTAATGCGTACTTTGTTTTCAAATTATGTTGGAACCATTGGAAGAAACAGTTTCATATTATACATAATATATAAACAAAAGGGTGTATTATCTTATTTACAAGATAAAATGTATATGACCCCATCCAAGAAGAAAATTATAACGGAATACATGTCAATTAAAATGGGAATAAACATAATATAGTTTGTTAAAGTAGACTGTGCTCTATCTAAACTGTTACAACTGTAATTCCCGTATGCTAATGTCTTTTAAATGGCCTGTCTTTACCGCAGTCAGGGTTAAAACAACCTCCTGTATGTGCGGAAATGTTTAGCAGAACCTCTACCATGCCTTTGTTTTTGTGTGTATTTGTTCCATATGCTACAATATAAGACCAGTGTGTAGCTATAGAGTGCTCCTTATGCTGCGGCCGAGTGGATGAGTACTTCATTAGAGGAGCAGCTGGCTGCCCGCTAGCGTGCAATGCTAGCATCACAGGTGACTTAGCGCAGCAGTGGCCTGCAGCATGTGCGGCCTGATTTTGGGACCACCTCCTGCACTACACGTGTGTGAGTGTGGGAGAGAAGGGCTCATGTGCTGATGCTAAGGCCTATTTAGGTTAGCAACCTCTCTGCTTCCAGGACAGATAGATACTGTAGCAACAGAAAGTGTGTCTACAAGTGGGCCAGCTATTTCTACTGTTCTGCTTCTTCTGGAGGTCACGCATCCTTTCCTTCATATATGTCCTTCACTTTTTCTGGAAGGTCTCTTAAAGTATGCTTTTTCTGGGTCTATCTATTTAGTCTTTCTTGTCACTCCTTTTATGTTATTTAAGTTGGGCTTTAACGCATACTACTTCCGATTTTCATTTTTTGTGTTTAGTTTAGACTCGTAAGTTTGGCTTGAGTCAAACTTGAGTCGCTATTTTTAGAGACTCTACTCGTCTCCTTCAACAGGATGCTTGACTTGAACTTGTCCCTCAAGTCTCAGACTGGACTCAGATTTGTCGTTTTGGGAGTATCTGATTTTCAAAATGAAAGCTGTTTCACTGCTTGTTAACAGGGGGAAACTGGCCATAGGTGCATATTCTGTAGAAGTAACCAGGGCCAATACCACCATACCACCAGTGCCTGTCCAGTGCACACCACAAAACAGAAACTGACCTGGATCATGTCCTCTACATGTCTCCTCCTGCAGCACGCATCTTGTTGAACTCGAGGCTCAAGATGTAAAGAAATAGTCATTTGTTGTTTCATGCCATGATTAGAAAAACATTCTTCCTCTTAGATTCCTTCACTTCATCAAACATAATTTATTTTGTACTGTATGTGCAAATATCCATAGTGATATTTTTTTTCTTTGTTAAGTAGATTTTATGGTTTAGTTTTCCCCATAGAACCAATCCCCCCCCTTCGCCATTGCTGAGCTGTGTTTTCAGCTGGCAGTGGACAAGGCAGCAGAAGCAGACCTCCGTGAACTCCACTATGTAAAACTGTAAGGACATGGCAGGTGTAGGCGAAAGTGTAAAAGCTGCAGCAGAAAGCAAAATAAGAGGGTTAGTGAGAACAGACAGATTCTTTTTATCTGTCCCTTAAGAGCTAGAGGTTTGGTGGCTCTGTGAAACTTTTTAGATTGAATCGATGGAGAATGCTTTTTCCCAAAGAGCTAATTTCATGGGCATTCTTAAAAGCAGCGTTTTATAGCGGGAATCAAACGCTGGTGGTGGTTAGCGCGCTGTTCTTCTCATTCACAAAGTTTAACCGCCCTTCTCTATCCTCAGTAGATTTCAACAACTTTTTTGTCTCCTCCCTCTGTCCCCAAAGCACTCTGCTTTTATGTCCACTGAAATGGTGAAAGAAGAATACTTTTGAAATATATATCATTCTTCGGTGAGCGTTTAGTTTTGAACACTATATTAACTAATATACATGTATTTTTAAATGTATTGGGTTTATGTTCTCTCAAAATTAGTCATTGGTACTTTATTATCTAGACATTACAACACAGGTTTAGAGTCCTTTATCTGGTAGAAAAGTCTCCCTGAAATATATATCAGTGATGTATTTGTGCTGCTTAAATTTTAGCTCTGACAATGGTGTTTTTGAAATAGACCACATTCAATTGGATTGTTAAGTTTTGCTGCAGTGCTCCAGGACAATTTAATTATATAATGAGACCATCTGTTGAAGATTATAAGTATAGTTGATTTAGCTATTGATTGAGCAGCATTGAGTGGTTTATTTGTAATTGTTTGAGTTCAGTCAACAG